TCATTTATAATGAATGTTTCCAGATAGAGAAGAAAACTTTTGATTTATAGTTCATACAATCTATTGTATAATGAGAATAACTAACAAATTAATAAATAGAGCTGTTAAATTGAAAAAAAAAACAATTATATGTATAGATAGTATTTCACAAAATTTCACTTATTATTGTTGATGTGTTAAGATAAGATGATGGTTGGAGATAGTCGTGCTATTTGGCACTCGTCAGCAAAGTGTACTTATAATCTTGCGGGAACTAATATTTCCTGACGGTTTCGATCTTATGTCACCCAACTTCATAGTCAGACACGTTATCATTGAGCTATCGCGGCCGAAACTGACTTCCTGTATAACTGAGATTTACTTACAATTGATTAATAACTGGGTGGTGATCAATGTCATGTATGTCAGGTCCTTCTTAATGTTATTAATAATAGGATTTTCAAATGTTAATGTCATTTAACCTGATAAGAAATGTATATGTATGAATATTTTTAGGTAAATTTAAACATGAATTTCAGGCTTTTTTTCCAATATTCATAAATTACTTATAAAGTTATCTGAATTACAGTAATCGTGAGGACGGTCAACGGGTGAACTCGAGGATACTCTAAGAAGCTCAGAAAGATATTCCATCCAAACATCTTTTGGAAAAAAACCCCAAATGCCCTGGCATGCCTGAGAGTGAGGAGAGTCAGCTCTCCCTCTCAAAATGCTCTCACATGGCCACGTGCATACAACCACTGTCAGGGAAGTCTCACTCACTGCCTTCTCGCTGCAAGAGTGTTTTTTCCAAAATCAAGAGAACGAAAAGCGAATGTCCGGTGCTTTAACCGGGTTGATGGACACAGAGCGTATACCTAGGGGGCCTTGAAAACTGTGATTCCGAACTAATGGTGCACATGGGCCCCAGTATCCTGAACGACCAAATGGCATATGAACCAATTGTTGGTCACCGGCTACCATGAGCCTGCATCTCCTTACGATGCTCCACTGTCTTGTGAATTAAAGCTTTAGGTCAAAGGCTCTGGGTGTGGCGCCCTAAGAAAACCACCTGCTTCAGTCTGAGTACCCGGGCAGTATCACAGCCCTTACACAAATCGAGTGATTTATGTGGCACATATCTATTTGGTGCCTCCTTGTACCATTTTTTTGTTTAAATAAATAAATACATCTTTTGGAGGAATATTCCAGAATCCACAGTAGTAATAATAATGGGAAGAATCGTGGTAGTAGCACTAATGTGATATATGCTACTTATTTCAACAGACATATGTGGTATGTAACACCAATACGAGGTGGAAAACCTAGCACTAGAAGGCTAACAAGATCAAGTTGAAGAGAATGAAAGTAAAATGAGAAGGAATTCTGAATTGAAAGAATCATGCAGAATGTGAAGGACAACTGATGGTAGATGTACAGATAAAGTATTCAATATACATGGTTTTCATAATGTACTAAGACACTGTTACGTTGCACATGAGTACTTGTCCGCTGCAATAATAGCATGGACCTATTTGTTTTGTATTTACTGTCTAATTTCGAATTTATTGTCATTCCAAGCTTTTCATCCTTCGTGTTTCTTCCAATTCTCAATTCCTTTATGTTTCCCTTTCTTTTTTCTTCAGTTCAATCTTCTCAACCTCCTGTTGAAATGTGTCCACTCTCTCCATTCTTGTTTTACTTTGTTATTGACGTGCTTTTAGAGATGACACTTTCCTCATCTAAATTTTCAGGGGTTGAACTTCTACCGGGAGATTCACTTTTTGACCTAGAATATGCCGATGACATAGTTCTATTTGGTGAAGACGCGGACAAAATATAGAGTCTTCTGACCACTCTAAGCAACAATGCAAGCATGTTCGGCATGCGATTCTCTCCCTCAAAATGCAAAATGTTGCTTCAGGATTGGGTTGCATCAACACCCGAACTAATGATAGGGAGTGAAGTAGTTGAGCGTGTCGATCGCTTCACTTATCTGGGACGTCTCATCAGCCTTTGCGGTCTGGTGTGTGACGAATCCTCAGCACGGATTCAGAAGGCTCGACCGACTTTTGCCAACTTGCGTCATTTGTGGCGTAGACGAGATATCCGTCTATCAACCAAAGAACGTGTTTACTGCACAGCAGTTCGTTCCGTCCTACTTTATGGCAGTGAAATATGGCCGGTAAGAGTAGAGGATATTCGTAGGTTACTAGTTTTTGATCATAGGTGTCTTCGAAATATTGCTTGTATATCCTGGGACTATCGAGTAAGTAACTCAGTCGTTAGGAAACCGGTACTAGGTAAGGATGGCAAATCAATCGTTGAAGTCGTGAAACTTCATCAGCTGAGATGGCTGGGACATGTGTTACGAATGCTCAACCACCAACTGCCTCGATGTGCGATGTTTTCTGGTGTAGGAGTAGGTTGGAAGAAAGCTACAAGCGACCAGACCAAAACATGGCACAAGTCCATGAAGTCACTGACAAGTAGACTGAGTCATGTTGGTAGGTGTAGACTACCTAACTGAGGACCGCGAGATGATAGCAACCGATGGTTAGATACCCTGAATGACATCGCTCAAAATCGTTTGCAATGGCCCAGGTGCAGCCACTCTTTGTATTCTCTCAAATTCTAATCTTTTGAGTTTTTCATGTCCCTTCCTTCTCCTTTCTAAATTTATTTCACTGTATTATACTTCTTGAATAACATCTTCAAACCCTAATCTTTCCGATTACTGCTTATACTCTTATTACCTCTACCACTACGGGATTTGAATCGACCACTGCATCTCTGTGCTAATGTGGTGTGGCAACTCGAACTGATGTACGTACGTACGAAGTTCTACGTTGTTACTGATTTACTGTTTAAAGGCATCCCACTCCTGAGCTGTGCTACATGCTACTTATGTCGAAGGACATATGTAGCTTACACCACACTATGACCGATTTCAAGTGATCTCACTATGTCTCTAACCATAGAATAAGGTCATCTCTAATGTTTAAACACGTAATTATGCACTCGCTGATGCGGCTCAGTTCAACAGTCATTAACATCACAGATTGATCTCATGTTTTCGTTTGTCGATTCTAAGTCTTCTGGTAACATACTCCTACAACATATAACATTGTTTGTTAAAATAGGTGGTTGCTAGTCATCCAGAACGATTCTCAAACGCCTCAGTAGATTACAGTTTAGAGTTTCGCCCACTTTTTAGTTATTTCTACATAGAGCTCTACATCTCACCATATCGTTTACTCATTTGGTGGTTCAACCATGAATAGACATTTGCTGGAAGAAATCTCTGATCAAATACTGATAAGTGAAGTATGTTCTTTGCTTTCAGAGATTATTTTTCGCGACTGTAAAGGATCTCAGATCAGAATGCTACGAACTTTACTTTTTAATTGGTAGGAAGTTGGGGATCTCACACTAGAGGTGGGTCAGATGTACGAAAACAAAACGATCATTTTATGTCTGTGATAATATTTTGCTGAGCATCAGGATGAATGATTCCGAAAAGTTACTACGACTAAATATTGCGCAATATTTGCGAAAGTTTTTCTCTCTTCCAACTTGGTTTAAAATGAATGGGTTATTAGTCAGCGTTGAACTTTGATCTTATTTAAAGTGCTTTATAACGGATCCAACTGTTAACTTTAGACTTAGATACATAGAAAAATTAGATGAGTAACGTCGTTTGATTATAGTCGCACTCATAGTTCAGCTACATTAAACATATCAAATGGTTATCATTTAGATGCAAGTTTTGCGATCAATCTCTTTTTCTTTTCTCATGTTTTACCAATATCCAAAAATGTCATTTTAAAGTATTCGACAAAAACGTAACATTCTTTTGATACTACTCGAAATATTATTTTTGTGATTTATCAACTCTCGTACATTACCTAATCTCCCCTATTGTTTCTCTTTATTTCCTTTTGAATTATAGAGAAAATAGTACGCTGTGTTACTTAAATCCTTGAATGTTTTCAGTAGGGCTAAGAATGAACTCTTTAAATCGACTAATCAGTATTTTAGTATATAGAGAATTAAAATCGAATGGTTATCATTGTTTAATAAAATATAATTTATCATGTTTACTCAACAAGTTATTTCCTGTTCTGTCCACATGTGAAGGACCTAGACATAGGCATATTTTATTTCATGAACATGAAATCAAATACTGTAACTAATCCAACGGACAGACAACAATGATGTTATGACAGGGCTTGCCTCAAATCACTCCAATTGGAAATAAGTAAAGAGTTAATCATATTATTACTTGAAATGAGGTCATATGTACCATATTTTGGAAAATCTATGGTACATGAATATTATTTACTTCAAAATGCGTTTTTTAAATCTGCGTTTCCTTTATTCGAAAAGCCCTTAAAAGTCATCCGAAATCGGACTATATGGCTGCCTTATTTAACATTTTGTTATTCATTTGTTGTTGTAGTCTCAACTCAGTGTCTTATCTGTAGAATTATGATTTTGTCCTTCTCAACAGATGTGGTTTCAAATACTTTGGAAATATTTTCGCAAACCGTTCTTCAAACTCTAACGCTTTGCTAAAGTCGTCTTCACAAGCAAATTTCCCAAAGACAAGTCATACGTTAGTACTCAGACAGTAAATCGACCTTGAATAACCCCCCAAAATGGTATCTGCTCAATGTTTTGATTAACATTGGAGTTCATCAGTCGTTCATAACCAACAATCTCAATAGCTCATTCCACTTATTTATTGAATTGACCTTTACTTTTTATAAAAATATCTCTTTTGTTTTGAGCTGAACTGTAGTCATTTATACGATACGATAACTATTCACTATCATGATCATTGTTTTGTTATCAGTCGTCTTCCTTATTGATCATTTACATGTTATAATTTGATATATTCTTTATATATCAACACTGAATGATAATATAATGTCTGGTGTACGAGTATCTACGACAAACAAATGGAAAGGAAACAAACGCAAATTAACTATTTTTTTCTTTTCAAATTTTTTTTTCAGTACCTAAACAACATCAAGAGGTAGTACAATGTATTTTGAAATATCCATCAAAAGTCTCCCTTCTTGTACTCGATCCAGAATCAAAAGCTTATTTCGAAAATAATTCAATTAATGTCAGTAAATTTATGGTAGATATTGAGAAAGTCTGTTGTCCAGCAGTTAATCCATGTTAGTTTCTTTAATCAATTAATTGTGTTTATTTCATTTAGTTATTTAATGTATAAAGAAACTTCTAGAAGTAAATTAATATAATTGATTAGTAAATGAACCAAATGAAAAAAAATTCATTGACAAGATGCATAAACGCATTGGTGGTAGATGTCGACAAATATTCAAAACTAAAAGTAATACCTGATTCACAATCAGATTTAGTCATCAGCTTCCAAGTTATTAGCTAGTTGAATACTTCATCAGTAAAGGAAATTTAGAACGTTATTTTTAATATAATTAAGTATCTGTACAATAAAGCCAAGGATTATCGATCTCTTTGAAATATCACCAAACTGGAAAATAAGCTGATTAATCAATGTAAGATTATTCTCAATTTAAGTATATGCCATTTCCCATCTATAAATAAACTCCTTATTCTACCACAAATTATCAACTATTATAAAATTCTCTCAGAATCGTAAATTAAGGTGTCTCATTTGAATTGTAAACAGTTATTCTTAGTTTAGTTATCAAAATCAGTATTAACAGTGAAAGTTAATCTCTGAGTTACTGAATATGGTTGGGAACAGTTTGTTTTACATTTGTCAGAAATTTAATACCAATTAAATAATATTAAGATTAATCAGTAGTGTATGAACAGATATTTTTGTTAGTATTTCTCATGTTTAATTAATTTAATAAAATGTTTTCGAGGTAAATTGTTCATTACAAATATTATTAAATAGTTTTGGTGGATATTGGTCTAATTTAAAGGTGGTATTTGTCATACACTGACTTTGTTGATTTATCACCTGAAATTGGTATGTATTGGATGATTATTTCGTTTTAGTATAGGACTCGTTAATAGTTCTCACTCAAGACCCTTTAGGAATCGAATTCAAAACTATGATGTTTCCGGAGATGTCTAAACTATTTCACTAATGGATTGGAATCCAGCAAAACAATTTTTCAAGTTAATACAATGAATCATATTTACTTCTTATTCTTGAAGCAGAACGAAACAACTATCCAATACTCACTATCACTTTTCTAAATAATTCTGATTTGTGATAAAAATTATTCTTAAATGATATAAAACATCCATCAAATGTACGTAAGTAAATGTTATATACCCATCAGTGATTAACTTCGGAGTAGATTTGCCCAAGTTTCCAACAGGAAGCTGTGATCAACGAAGTCAATCAAGTCGAATCTGCGGTTCACAAGTTAACTTTAATTTTTTGTTGAAATCATCATCGTCACAAAATCATTGAAAGAATAATATTTTTATACAAAGTTGACTAAATTCAAGGTACCAGTTTGTTTAAAAGTTTATTCAACAATTTGTTCTAGACAAATATTTCATATTGGATCTATGCTCTCATATTAGTCGGCAAAACATCAAAGTAAATATCAGTTTTCACTGCGAATAGGATACAAAGGCCATTGGATGGCTTCCATTTATAAGCAATTATATTTTAATATATCATTGAGTTAAACCTAATGTCGATAAGTTTAATAGACATACCAAATATATGTAACACACTTCAGCTGACAGATATTAGCTACTTATAACCAAGAATTTGTATACTGAATTTCTAACAATGTTAAAACCAAATGGAAAAAAGTTATTCATTGAAAATCAGCTGTTATGTCTTACTTCAAGCAGTGAATAAGTATGCCTCTTTAATAGGACTAAGACCAGGAGCTTCAGACATCTAGGCGAGTGAGTAACCTTTAAATCGCTGAAGTGAGGTTCAAATCTTTATATTCATAACTTAAGTCATTTAGAAACAATGCGACGTTCATTCATGATCACTTATGATTTCTTTGTATTCCACGACTTAGTTGAACTAAACCACTCACAGCTTCTCACTAGAATTTCAACAATAATCCTTAAAATTAGTCACTAGTAAGTAGATGATTGTTGTTAGGTTGATCATTTGCGGATATTATTCGAATAGTTCCCTGACTTCTGTCAGTCTGTAGAAAAATCCACCTTTCTAATATATCTACCTAACTATTTTTATTGATCATCCAGTCTTAACTGATAATATGCTGTGTGCTTCTACCCTCATTATTTTCTTATGAAAATTTAGTTGGGTTTAACGAACTTTTCTTCTACCCTAATGTTTTACAACATTTAAACTACTAAATAAAATATCTGTTTTCAAAGATAACTCGGTGATTTTTCTGCATGCTTTGTCATTAATTTTTGATTCAGTTGCATCCGGTCAAAAGGTGAATGGACATACTGAACTGGTGAGTAAAACATTTTGTAATTTAGTCTTTAAAAAAAAATCATATTCTCATCATTTAAAACTATATTTCATTACTGAGAGATTCGGTTCCTCTGAAGAATGTCTCTTCATTCTGAACTAATACTGTAAAGATATTCTGAATATAGTTCTAGTGATTTACAAGAAAGTGATTTACATGATTCTACTTTATCAAAAATTGACCTTTTAAAGTATAATGTGAATTACATTAGAAGGACATTTTTCTAATTTATGAATAATAATTAATAGAGTACTTAAAACGTAGCTAATTCCTGAAAACACATTGATATACAAATATGACTGAAAACGATGTTTAATTTAATTGTCTCTTGACTCGTAACGTGCAAATATACATAGATACTTTGCATATAAATCAGTAGAGCAATGGTATATTTGTTAGAGCAATTGACTTTCTACCACTTGATTATTAGTTCAAAACTCTTTCCGGATGCTTCGGTTTGTGGTCATTGGGTAGTATCACTGTGTTTAAGTTACAAAAAAAGTGCGTCAGAGTCGATCAAATAAACTTATATTTGATAACTGATTAGTTACTTACTATGCATTACGTATTCAGAGCTTCGAAAAGTCTTTAGTCCTTGCAGTTCACTTCAGTTTTTTTAATTCATGATGATTCTATGAACTGACTGATTAAAGTTAGGGATAGTTTTAGTCCCTTATAAAATATTAAACCTAATATGCTGCTAGTAATTATTTAGTACGATTGATATTTAAGGACAGATTTGGGCATTGAATTGTAGTAGTAGTGCTTGTGACCAATTCTATTATTTGACCAATGAAGTTGAGCGTTGGAAAATATTTTCTATTTGGACTTTAATATTTTCTAAAGTATCAACAATATCGAGGCTTGATTTTTCATAGGTATTGATGTTGACCATCGGGTATGGCATTGTCAGTGGAGTGTATTTGAACTTTTCTAGTTAATTTAGTTTAATTGTTAAGATCACCCAGATTCCTACAGGCTAGTCAAACAAGTCAGTCTACTGTAAGTTAAACCTACAAATTAAAAATGAAGTCCAAATGCCAATGGTGATTTTAAGTAAACAAGTCTGTGTCATGCCTGGTACATTAAATATTTGCAATATTAACTTTCTAACCATTATGTATTCTCAGGAAATCTGTGACTCTTGGACCTCTAATAAAGTCAGACAGTGAGAATTCGACTGAAGGCCTACGTGGGGAATTCATTTAGTTACATAGAACTAAGCTTATTTGTATTGTTACCATTAAACTTGTAGTTTTGGAGGCTTCTGAAAAATGCTAATATTATTAATGATCAGACCGTGTGACAGATTGGGTTAGAAAAGTAAATAAATGAGTCAGTTTTACAACTTAACTAGAGTATTATGTACACGATATAGTACAATTCAAAATATCTGTCTTGATTACTGATATTGTTTGTAGCTGTGAAAAGTTAAGTTTTGGAATAACCATTTGGGGATGTATTCTTCAATAAAAATAATTAGGAAATCAAATGAAATAATGTACTCAATGAAAACTCCAAAACAAACAAACACTAACCTGCAAGATTTCCTTGAATTAACATTCGGTCGTTTCTGATGATCAAATGACAATAACTTAATTCATTTATAAAATACAAGTTTAGTTAATCGAGACAAAGTAAATGATTTGTGTGAGGGCTAGTAATACTACTATCCAACTGTTCCAAATAAATTAGGTTCAATAGGTTTCAAAACACATAACACACAGTAACTTTATTTTACAAAACATTCTTGCAATAAGTTATAATTGTCATTGAAATGAAATGATGGCTTTGTGGTTAAAAATTTCTCACCCAGTCATTGGATTAACGCGCTTAAATATTACACTACTTATCTCTATTGTTTATATAACCATGTACTAAGTGGAGTGATTGCTTATTGGTTAGGATATTTGGTTTTTAGCCACTAAGTCCTAGGTTCAAATCTTGTTCAACTTCAGTTTGATCAAATAGATCGTATCATTAGCCCTCACATTTAGAGTGTATTTTGAAGCCACATGTACTAAAGGCTAATGATAATATTATTAATAATAATAACTTTTCAAACGAATAGACGATCATTAGTGTTTCACTGTTTCTCACCTTAAATTTAACGAACGATCTTTTAAGAAATATCAGATTGAATTTTTTCAATGATAAATTGATTTCAACAGAAAACATACTTTCTCATAAGAACATATATTTAATCAGAATAAATAGTGAATAAGTTTTCTCTTATTTTCATCAGATGATAAAAGTCAGTATTAGATCTGAGTAGATTAAAATCAAGAATTTTGGTTAATGAAGGTTAAACAGTATTTCTTTTCATCAACTAAACCAATACTTATTTGTTTATCTTGTTACTGTTTGTAAAGATGTATATTGAATTATGAATTAAACCTGCTATGTCTATAACTAATTACATAAGTTATCTACTTGACTTCCCGATACATCAGTTGTTTTGTTTTATTATGATTCTTTGTGCTATAATTAATTAGATCCAAACAATGCGTGCCAAATTTTAGACTCATATTTTTTTATAGTGTATCATTTGTACATATATATATATATATATTTATTTATTTACTATGAAAATATTTGCTTATATGTTCTTATTTATGTATAATTGTTAAACGTATGGATGTGTTATACTCTGTGTAACTTGACTGGTAGATATGTAAAAATGATAAGCACTGTATGATGTAAATAGCAATTACAGTAACCCAATAATCATAAAGAGCTGACTGATCAATTTTTTTAAAATATTCACATTATCTTCTCATAATACGTATAATATTATCCTAGGCAATTTCTTGGAACTGTTTTCTCTGAAGAAAACAGTTTGAAGTTCTGACGACCAAACCATCCAACTCGGAGAAAAAACTCCATCTGGATCATTCACTTAAACTACAAATCTTCTCCACCATCTCAAAATTCTATGTGCGTAGCATGCCCCTCGTCGTTCGGAATTCAAAGAAATTGTCCGAAAGACGGGTTTCTACTCGATAAAAACCATATTTTCCTCACGAGTTTCTTCGTTAGATTGTTCTGCCAAAAATTGTAAGATACAGACCACCAAACAACTGCCCAATTGGGTAGAGAATAGATGAGAAAAGTGTAAGTCAAATGGGTACACTTTATGATAACTGATGCGAACTACAGCGTCCACAAAAAACACCACATCATGGATGACCAAAAGAGGAAGCTAGAGAGGATGCGCACATTAGAACATTTAAGAATCTCAACAACAGCTGTCAGGATATCGAGCAGACGATACAGAAAACAAAAAGAAGCACTCTCAAATAAAAATTAATCAAGACTTGAAAACCACTCACAGAAGAAAACACTGCGTGGTCAACCTTTCAAAACAACCTCTGATGAACATAGAAGAACACTTGCTCCGAATAGAATTGAACTATATTACAAGTGACGCTTCAAAACTAAAATTCTTCTCTGCATTGAAGTCATTACACAAAAATAAAGAAACTCAACACGAAAAAAGACAAATCATAGTACTGTTAACTCGATGAAATAAAGACAAGACCCAACTGACCGGAGACGAACAAAATGCTTAAAGAAACTCAGAACCAGAGAAGAAATTATCATAGTTCCAGAGGACAAACAACGCAATACAGTAATTATAGATAATAGAAAATATATAATGAAAGGCAGGAAGCTACTTGAATATAAAATGCCTGTGTAGATCATTGGACATACATCCAATCGAAAGGTTAGAAAACAAATTCTCAAGGGCCTTAAACAAGCTTGTCAACGCAGGATAAAAGTCAAAGCAAGATCAATCGAGAATGAAACCTTATGGATCAGTACTGCCTTGATCTTAATGTATCCCAAAAATAAAAAACCCAATTATCACACTACATACATCTGTATCACTCTCCGGAACTCCAACACAATTTATGGAGAGAAATTTCAAGAATATTGAAACATTTATTGGATTCATCCAATCAATCCGTCGAATCTCTAATAGAATTCTTGTCTAAGGTTAAGGACATAAAGATGAACAACAAACTAATGATATCGTTTGATGAAACAGTCTTATTCACCTCAGTGGAACCAAACTTAGCAAAGGAAATTCTATCCCTCCTCCTTAAAAAAGACACAAATCTCCCAAAGTACAATGAGCTTCAATGTCAAAAGTTACTAGAAATCATTGATTTGTGCTCATCAAAACACTTTCTATTCAACAATAAAATCTACGAATAAATGATAGGAACACCGATGGGATCACTATTATCAAGACTAATTGCAAAATCAGTGAGGCTGACACTCGAAACCTTGATCTTACTAGTGATCAAACCGATGATGTGGATTCGCTTATGGACGACACATTTGTCATAATCGAAAAGGACGAGAAGAAAAACACCCACAATCTGATCAACAACTTCGATGACAAAACATTGACAATGGAAAACGAGTCGAACAAAAAGTTATCATTCTTCGACCTACTAATCACCAGAATCAACGCAGAAAAACCGGGGACTCAAGTTTATCGGAATCCGACCCACACAGATCGAATTCTCAATTACAGTAGCAACAACACAAAAACTCACGAAATAAACTGCTTACGAACTTTATTCAAGAAAGCGAGAATATACTGAAGAAAACTTACAGCGTGGAAAAATAAACAGAAGTATCCAATAGGTATCCATCAAAAGGACAGCCATCAATCCAACATCGTCAAAAAACATCAACCCCTACTCATCAGCGTAAACGAAACCGAGTATAGAAACTGACAAACGGATTACCCTGGTATATATGAAAGACATATCAGGAATCACCAAAGGTTTATTGATGACGTTTAGAATAGGCGTTTCATAAAAAACAGCAGAATCATCTGAATCAGTCTTACAAAAGAAGAAACCCAAACACCATCAGCAAAATAAACCGCTCCGATTGCGAAAAAAATTACATCGGACAAAGTGGACTTATCTTCTACTTTCTCCTTCATGATTATTAGTTAGCGG